GCTTAACAAAAGGAAAGAAAGTTTACACAAGCTAAATCTGGTTCGATGACTATGAGTCTCTATGGACAGGACAGGAGGGATGGTAAGGGTAAGGGGAGGGTAAGGAAGAGCCCAGAACTTAAGGAAGGTTGAATGAGGAAATTGTTAAAGTATTGTGACTTGTACTTAAAAATTTGAAGAAGCAAAGGAAAGGAATATGAAGCAAAGAGGTAAACGATTTAACAAATTATATTCCAGTAGGCTTTTTCAAATGCTAACCAAGAGGACTAGTTCCTGACTCCAAGTAAATATGTATGCGTGTGTGTACGTTCACATTTTATTGGTGCTTTATCACTGCTTCAAAGAAAATATGAAATTTGTATGTTACAATTGAAGCACAGCTTAAACAGCATAATGTATAGGATAGAATGAAAAATTGCTAGAGAATCAAGACCCAAAGTAGGAGACAAGATAAACAGAAAAATCAGCATACAAGCCTGGAGAGAAAATGGTTATGGTGAGACTCGATTTCCATTCAAATTGTTGATACGTTCAGCTACTTGTGGGCTTTTATTTTTAACCAATCAATTCAAACTCCAACATTTCCAACGTTCCGATCAGAACGGGTTTGTGTATATAAATGAAGGCGGCAACAGCTCCACGCTTTCGATTTTGGTTCTTCCGGTAGATTCCGTTTAGTTTATTTTTACTCATGGCTCGTACAAAGCAGACTGCCCGTAAGTCCACGGGAGGCAAGGCACCCCCCAAGCAGTTGGCCACTAAGGCAGCTCGTAAGAGCGCTCCTGCTACTGGCGGCGCGAAGAAACCTCACCGCTTCCGACCGGGCACTGCGGCTCTCCGGGAGATCCGACGGTACCAGAAGTCGACGGAGTTTCTAATCCGCAAGCTGCCCTTTCAACGTCGGGTACGAGAGATTGCACAGAATTTTAAGACCGATCTTCGCCTCCCAAGTTCAGCTGTTATGGCTTTGCAGGAAGCTAGTGAAGCCTATTTAGTTGGTTTGAAGACACTAATTTGTGTGCCATCCACGCAAAACGGGAAACGATCATGCCCAAGGACGTACAGTTGGCTCGTCGCATCCGAGAGGAAAGAGCTTAATCTCTCTTTGCTCCGAATTATTGGCCAAAGGCTGTTTTCAGAGACACCCACATTCTCAGTGAGAGAAGCTGTAAAGTTATACTAAATTTTGAATCTATTTTAGAGCTTCTGCACTATTTTTTTTTAACTCTTAGGGCACTCAGTTGTTCCCGTACCAGGTGTTAAAAGAATTTGCAAGTCATTATCCTTTATAGTAAGTGGGATGACTTTTGCCCAGTAATCATAGATTAGAGTAGAATAGATGCTGAGATTGGAACTGAAAAATAAAGAAATCTTGACTCTTGGAATGTTATTCTCTCGAGTGTCCTAGGTAACAGATCAAATTGCAAAGTAGTAGACCTCATTGTCACCATTCCTAAGGTTTAGCAGGTTTTAATTAGTGAAAAAAGTTCTTTGAAGGTTAGGGGGGAAAAAGTCAAAGGAGAAATCACTGGAGTTCACTGAATAGGAGAATAACAGACTTTACCCTCTCATTAAGAAAATCACATTTGCAGTTGTGTAGAGGATAAAATTCCACTCTAGGACAGGTAATTAGGGCTTGAACTTTTGTGGTTAGACCTATGAGTAGAAGAAAGTTGACATGTAAGGGATCTTATGGAGCTAGAAATACCAACATTTGTCTATTAACTTGATAGGTGGATGAGGAAGAGAAACTTCAGGATAACAGATTTTGTCAATCTGGGCAACTTGGGACAATGGAACTCAACAGAAGTAGAGAAGATCAGAAAAGGTTTAGGGACAAAAATAATGAGTTAAGTTTCAGACATAATAATCATAATAACCATTTGCAAAGCCCCTTTTCATTTGATGCTCACAACAACCTTGTGAACTAGGTGCTATTATTGTCCCTATTTTACAGATGACAAAATAGAGACTAAAAGAGGTTAAGTAACTTGTCCTGGGTCATATAGCTAGTAAGTGTCCTAGGCAGGTTTTGAGGACTTAGGTCTCCCTCACTTAAGCCCTGACTTTTCCACTCCAGCCTCATGCTGAGTTTAAAGATGGCTGCCTCCAGTTGGAAATACCCAATAAGCAGTTGGTGAGGTATTGATGAGAGACTAATGTTTGTTAGATACATTTGGGAATAATCTGCATAAAGATGATATTAAACCCATAGAACCTGATGAGGTCACCAAGGGAGAATGCAGAGAAGAGAATAGGGCTCACACTATGTCTTGGGGATATACCTACAGTTACAGGAACATGATAATAAGAGAAATTATTTTACTATTATATTAACAATCAATTGTTAAATTAGGATTAAGCTTTTTCTCCTTTATTTCCTCATTTACGGCCCAGCCCCTGTAGGTCAGTCAATCAGTCTCTGAAGGACATGGCTGGTTGAGATGTCCCTAATCCTCAGAGAACATGTTCCTCCATCTTGGGTGGGACCCCACCCAACTAGGAGACCTTACTTCTTTTTAGAGTGTAAACAGAATCTGATCTAGGTGAATTACTGCCTCAAGAAAATGAGCTCCTGTCCTCATACCCCTCTATTGGAGTTTAGGGTGACCCAGATTATGAAGGAGAAAACCAAACAGTGGTCTGGATAGAGATGGCTTCCTCTGCTTAGACTGCTGGAAGCTGTTGAGTCTTATGATCAAGCCACAGTTCTCAGCAGGAGGAGCTGAAGGTTCCTAGCCCACCTCTTCATTAAGTGTCCACTAATCAGGATCGATTTTCATTTGTCAGGGGCACCCCCTTTTCCAAAAGTATGTTAAGGTTTTCAGCCTCTGCATGGCTTTGTCTTTAGTTTTCCAAGAGAAACCACTGATCATCAATTTATTGATCAGTAATCAATTATAATAATATAAAATAATTATATATTACATATACTTATAATAATATAAATAAAGATAATCAATAATAAATCAAATTGTTATAATAATATAGATATTAAATATAAGCTAATTAATACATTCATTATTAGTTGCCTAGAAACTCTGTTTGTTGATGAACCAGAAAAGGACAATGAGAAAGTGTAAATATATCTACACCTCACATATCTTTGAACTCCCTTTTCAGTTTCCTTATTGACCTTTTTGTGATAAGGATGTGACTACTTATCTAAATTTCATCTTGGGTAAACTACGATATCATAAAGTTACAGGAAACAGTACTGAAGTTTAATTTTAAACATCAGGCAGCTTTAATTTATATTCACCTGTCTTTATTCCTAACTTTTTTCAGTTTTAAATATTTAGGAAATGGGTAATTTAAAATTATATATATATGTAAAAATATAAATATACAGATATACATATAAGTCTTTAGCCTTCTAAATCCTTGTATTTTTATGTAAATATTTCTTTTAGTTTTATTCTACCCTAACATCACTGGTTTGGGAAACTTATCCTATATTTTATCTTTCATAGGATAACAAAATAGAAAATTCATTTAACATATCCTTGATAATCTATCCCCTCCACTCTGCCTAATACACAGGCCTTCACTGCTAACCACTAGAGAATTTCAATAACCTATCATCTTCCCACCTCCACTTATCTCCCCTACTCCCAACACACATGCATACAAACCCCAATCTATCTATTATACCACTGCCAGAATAATCTTTCTTTTGCATACATTTAGTAATATCACTCCACTGCTTAAAAATCTTCAGTGGCTCCTTAGTGCTTATAGAATAAAAGTCAGACTCCTTTACCTTCCAAAATCTGATAGCCCCCTACATTTCTAGCCTCTCATATTATTCTTTTCCAACTACCCAGCAGTCTAACTATACTGAGCCATGATTTGTCCCCAGGATATATTCTCTTTTTTGCTACATCAGTGCTTTTCCATAAGCTGTTCCTAATATCGGGAATGTCCTTACTACACTGCTGATTTCCTATACATCTTTAAAGTCTAATTCAAATCCAACGTGGGAGATGTGGAAAGCCTTCATGGAAGAGGTGGCATTTGTTTAATATTTCATGTGAATGTCATTGAGAAGGAGTGTGCATATTAGAGAGTGATGAAGTTAGTGATGAAGACATCAATCTATGTTGTACCTCTGGTACATACTATACACCCCACAGCAAGTCAGTCAAATTCAGTGCCCCAAAACAACTCTAAAAATACAAACTGCAACACTCCAGATGATCTTTGGTAGAAGGAATTTCCTCACTCCCAATAGCAACAAAATCAAAGGTCCAGTCCACAAAAAGCTTATTGTATTTTAGCTATATTATAATATCTACTAGATGTTAAACTATGAAGTCAGAAACTTTGATTTCTCTCTGAAATAACTACCAAATTGTTCTGAACATGGTAGGCATGTAGTCTTATCTGAGTGCAACTTGAATTAAAAAAGAGTTTACTGAGGAAATTTTGTTTCCTTTAATGTTGTTTGTTCTTCATTCTTGAAGAGGACTATAACATCAGGAAGATGATGCCATGACTTGCAAGTGAATTGGATTTAAGTGAGGGAGGGCTCTGCAAGGTCACTAGCCTCACTTTCTCCCCCAGAGCCATCTGGGTCTAGTGGCAAGATATAGATTAGGATGACTGGAGATGCCCCCTCCCTCCTTTAACATAACAATAACAATAACTCACATTTACATAGCATTATGAGGTTTACTTTGTATATAACAACAATAGAGCACATACCATTGGACCGTAGGAGATGTAACAGGAATTTTGGCCCCTTATTAAAGAACATAAGCAACCCCATAGACTTCCTTTGCCCTCCCACTCCAACACAGGGTGATGCCTCAAAAAAGACTAACCCCTGAGTCAGAGCTTAGAAACCTCAGGAGCAAGAGGCAGGTTTCCCCTACCCCAGCCCAATGATTTTCTCTTTACTTGCAAATTCTTGTATTTTGTTGTTGTTGTTGTTGTTGTTGTTGTTGTTTTTTGCTAGGCAATGGGGTTAAGGGAGTTGCCCAGGGTCACACAGCTAATGTTAAGTGTCTGAGGTCGCATTTGAACCCAGGTCCTCCTGACTCCAGGGACGGTGTTCTATCCACTGCTACACCAAGCTGCCCCATAAATTCTCGTTTGATCTTCACAACAGTAATTGCTATTAAAGTTGCCCCTTTACAGCAGATAGTCTTCTCACCTGAACAAAGCAAACAAAAAACTTCATTTATAGGATGAAAAGTCTTGGAAGCAATAGCTAAAGAAAAAGTGAATACAGATGGAGGAAGGTGGTATTTGTTTCTAAATTATATCTCCCTTTCTCTTCTGTTCTTTTCTGGGAAAAGAGGGACCAGCTGCCTCATAAGACTGGAATCTAGGAAGCAACTTGTCCTCCAAACTGTCTGTTTTAAATAGATCTGCAGGTTAAATATACTGTATATGTATATTTAGTAACAAATAGCAAAGAAGCCAAAACCAGGAAGGGATCACCTTAGGGCTAGACCAAAAAAGGCAAATGTCTGAGGAAAGCCAAATGTTCTAAGAAGTATAGGACTCTGTCATATACAACTAATATCTTAGCCTGAAGAATGGCAGGTATTGGGCAATCAGAAGATATTCCCATAAAGCAACTCTGAGACAGACTTGACCTAGTTTTCCTAAAGAGTGAGATCTGTAGAGGTTCATTAAGACGAAAATGGTCACTACTGTGGATGTTAATTCTAAAATTCAAGGGCTCCACCCTATATCTCATTGACTTTAGTGGTTAAGATCAACAAACATTTGTTTAAATGAATTTCATGTATTACCAGAAGTCAGTACAGTGTCACACAAAGACAGTAGCTAAAGCAACTGCTTTAAAGGAACATACAAAGAAAAAAACCCCCAAAATACATGGAAGTCTGAAGAAAATAAGTGCTGCTATTGTTGTCATGCTGCCCCCCACCCCCAAGTAGGTAGAGTACCCTGGCCTACCTTGCCAGAAAACATGGACTTTGAGGAAAACAGTGAAGAGTAAAGCTAAAAAGTGGAATGGCTGTTCAGCAGCCCAACCAAATGTTTCATGGGTTAATATTTTAAGTATCAATATCTCATGAGAATATAATAGTAGTTACAAGTTACTGTTTCAAGTTTAACTCTAGCCATGATGGATTGTCTTTTGTGTTAAGCATTTTTTTTATATTGGGAAAATGAAAAGCTCTATTATATCTCATCTACATGGTATATTGAGTACTTTTCTACTCCTTTTTGAGGGAGACCACCCTAGAAATGAGTCAAACCTAGGATTTACGCGTACTTTCCTGGGATTCTGGAGGTGACTAGGTAAAGAGCCAGAGATTTTAAGAAATTGAACCTGAAGAAATTGAACACTTTCTTTAGGAGCCAGGCTCCACCTTAGACCATACTCATAGGTCTCTAAGACAAGTCCTCCTCAAGAGGAGGTATAGCAAACCAGCAGCAATTGTATGTGGTTTTATGTATATGTGTATATATTATATAAGATGAAATATATTACATATAATCTAGGATTATATATCAGATTACATAGTATACATATATAATTCTATGGGTACCTGGGGGAGGAGGGAACCTAAGGTGTCTTGGTGGTTTTTTTTTTTTTAATCTGAGAAGAGGTCGTCAAGCAGAAGGAAATGGCATGGCTAGGAAATAGCTGTTAGTGCAAGGAATAGGGCAAGGAAATAGTTTTCAGACTAGAGGTGAGGACCCTACAATTCTAGGTCATTAGCATGCTTCTCTCCAGGTAAGGGTACAATAAGAATAGGATTCCCGCATTATTAGAAGTGGCAGAAAAGTATAAAGTTATATTTTCGAGGGTAACTATACACATCTATCTGGTTAACCCAGAAGAGTATTTGCCTGTATTAAAATCAAATTTAAGTGTATTAGGATACAGGCCACTGTTCTACTTCCTTTTTTGCACAACTGGACAGCTAAGCTATTCCTGGCCATGACTGATTTCCATCCCTTCTAGTTGGAAAGAAAATTGTAAAGCGGACTTTAAAACAATTTCAATGAATAACTACTCCATGACCCCAATTAGATAACAGGTCTAACAGAACAAAGGCTTTTTCCCTCATTAAATTACCTCAAAATACATAATTCGTGCTCAAAACTCTTTGTTTGAGGGTATGGGTGGCTCTTAAAAGAGCCCTTGGAGCTGTAGTTTCAAGGTCTTTTTTTAGCGAGTAATCTACTTGGAGCTGGTGTACTTGGTGACGGCCTTGGTGCCCTCGGACACGGCGTGCTTGGCCAGCTCCCCGGGCAGCAGCAGGCGCACGGCCGTCTGGATCTCCCGGGACGTGATGGTGGAGCGCTTGTTGTAATGCGCCAGGCGGGACGCCTCTCCGGCGATCCGCTCGAAGATGTCGTTGACGAAGGAGTTCATGATGCCCATGGCCTTGGAGGAGATGCCCGTGTCGGGGTGGACCTGCTTCAGCACCTTGTACACGTAGATGGAGTAGCTTTCCTTGCGGCTGCGCTTACGTTTCTTACCATCTTTTTTCTGCGCTTTTGTTACGGCTTTTTTAGAGCCCTTTTTGGGAACAGAAGCCGATTTGGTTGGCTCGGGCATTATGCAAAACCTAAACAAACCAAACGCTTAAGAAACGAATTAGATGGTACTTGCTCGTGTCCGGTCTACTTGTAGTTAGCGTATTCAAATGAGGCATTAGAAAACTCTAACTCCTGATTGGAAGAAACATGTTAAGCCGTTCTCTATTGGAAGGAGCACATGCAAAAGACTAGATGCCAGTTCTACTTTCCAGTTGGATGGTTAGTTAAAAAAAAGGCTTTGAACCAATCGAACAGCTTCGCTTGTATCCTACCCCTTTTGGCGTTCGTCTTGTAGGTTGGAAAGAATTTTTAAAAATCGCTTTTCAGATTGTTTCTGTTTAACCTGTCTGAATCTCTTGGTAGCTCTACAAAAAGTCATTGATATATCATGTAGATATATCATGTAGATATATCATGTTGTTTTTTACTTATGCTTGCTTATTCAATGCTTGGTAACCTTAGCTGCTGTGTAGAGCATTTGGCTTGGAATCGGGAAGGCTCATCTTCATGAATCCAAATCAGGTCTCAGTCACTAGTTGTATGACTTTGGCCAAGTCACTTAACCTGTTTGCCTGTTCACTGAAAACATCATGTTTTTAAAAAGCATGGGAGCAACCACACAAGCCTTGCTTGACTCCATTGGTGACTGGGAAAATTCAAAAGTATCGTCCATTATGCAGAACCTGTGCATAGTACAGTACAGATGAACTTCTCTGGGCAACCAAATTTTGATCTTCCACAAGCCTTCATGACTGACATTATCAAAAGCTTTGGTCAAATCAATGAACAGACCTCTGTTCTGCTCCTGGCATTTCTCTTGGAGTTGTTGGGCACCAAACACCTTATCAACAGCTGCTTGGCCATTTCTGAAGCTCCATTGGCTTCATTGCAGATGTCCATCTTCCAGGTGTAGGATCAGTCTGTTTTTTTTTTTTGGCTAAGTGGTGGGGTTAAGTGACTTGCCCAGGGTCACACAGCTAGTAAGTGTTATGTGTCTGAGGCTGGATTTCAACTCAGGTCCTACTGACTCCAGGGCCAGTGCTCTATCCACTGTACCACCTCGCTGCCCCGAGGATCAGCCTATTGAGGAGGACTCCGCAAGAAACTTGCCAGCAATGATTAAGAGAAACATGTTGCAACAGTCACCCTCACTTCCACCCCCATTGTCACAGGACATCTATTTCCTTTTCCTTTATAGAGATGGGCCTTCTTTTGCCATATAACCCAAAGATTTCAGTCAATTTTTGGATAAGCAGTGGACCCCCTGCCTTGTAAATCTTAACTGGAATAGAAACAGCAGCAGGTGCCTTTACCATATAAGAGGAGCCTAATGGTATTCAAAACTTTTTTTAGTTGGAAATTCAGCTAGAGAGGGATTGACTTCAAACTGAGGTATATGGACAATGGCTTCACAGCATTGATTGATGATGATATGTGAGAACACTATGGAAGAGTTCAGTGCATCTCTCCAGGACCATTGTCTTTATCACAAATCAATGTGGTTCCATCAGCCTGAGTAGGTGAGATGCACCATAGGTCTTTGGCCCACAAACAGCCTTCATGGCATCATAAAAATGCTCTGAATTGTTACTATCAGTGTAAAACTGAATTTCATCCTGCATCTTTCTAGGCTTCACATGCACTTTACTTTTGACGGAGTTAAACACTGCCTTCTTAGAGATAGACAAACTATCCTGCTGTTAAACCTTCTGGAGTTCTCCTTTTTTTATTTAGCAGTTTCTGTATTTATCCATCATTTTTGTCAAACCAATCTTGATGTTTGTGAATGTTCTGGCCCAGATGAGTAAATTCAGTGCTGTGCACCAAATCTCTGAAAGCTGTCCATTCCTTTTCTGCGTCACTGTTGCAACTGTGTTGTTGGCTCAGGTTTTTTTCCTGCAATTTAGTAATGGAGAAGCACTCTAATCTGTTGACATTGTCTTCTGGTAGTCATCTTGTCCTAGGGCTGTCACTTTTGTTGAACTCTAATGTTTAGCTTGGAGAGGACTATGATCAGTTTAGCGTTCAGCCCCACACTTTGCCTTCATTACTCTCACATCCTGTCTCTCTCTTCTGACAATGACATAGGCTATTAAATGCCAATGTTTACTTTGAGGATGCTTCCATGAAGTTTTATTGCATTTAAGAAAATGGAAGATGGTGTTAATGATGAGGTCATGAGACACATAAGCCTTCAGTAGTGTTTTTTTGCTCTTACTGTTTCCAACACCATTCCTTCCAAGGATTCCCTGTCATGTCTGATAGTCTGTGCCTGATCTGGCATTAAAGTCACGCAGAATTACAAGTGTGTCCTCTTTCAGCACATTGATGATGAGGGTCTTCAGGTCTTCATAAAATCTTTCTCTGACCTCATCAGAGCTTGTCATAGTGGCAGTATACACACTGATGATGGTGATGTGGCAGTTTCCTACAAGTGGCAATGATATTGCCAGGAGCTTATCATTCACTCCTTTTGGGAGTCATATAAACTTCATGACACTTCCCATCACTGCAGCCATTCCAGAAAGATGTGTATCCAGTTCTGACTTCTGTAAACTGGCTTTCATTTGCTAGCCTTATTACACTCTGGGCTGCTATTTGGATGTGATGCTTGCTGAGTTTGTCTTTCAAGTCTACTGAAAGATTCTTGTTGTGTATAAGAGTGCACATATTCCATGTACCAATTGTGAGTAGAATCATCTTTGAAAAAGTTTTTGTACATTTTTTTTGTGTGTGTTTCAACCACAGGATATGATCCCACCTTGCCATAGTAAGCAGACTGGGAATAGGTTAGGTGAAGCAGACAATTTTTAGAGCATCTTTTCTAGTTCCCTTCTGTATGCCAGGAGGTGAGCAGTATTGTCCTTAAAAAAGGCTGCTTAGACTCCCATTGGGTTCTGAATCCCACTGCTGCTTCAGTCCAGTGAGGAGACAACCCTATAATCCTGTACAGTGTTGTGACTACAGCCCCCAGTGCATCCACATATGTTGCTTCATCACTTCTTGCCTGTTGACACAAGACTTTGAGGTAGGTAAAAATGGTAAAATAATATAAAAATAACAATGTTCCCTTTTGACTAGGGGATTTAAGTGTGGCAGAGTTGCACAAAGTTATCAGCCTCACTCTCTCTTCCAGAGTCATCAATGTCCAGTGGCAAGACAAAAGTCAAGATGACTGGTGATAGCTTGGGATGCAGTAGATGACCTTGGCATTTTCAAAGACTAACCAAGCTCTAAGTGTTCCACAGCACCTGGTCCAGCCACCTTAATGGCCTTTGGAACAAATTGTTCTCAACCACACATTCTGCCAGTAGAAGTCTTCATCCCCTCTCCCCAAACTTACCAATGGGTTTGAGGCCTATCAGTTACTCTCAACCTGGTTTAGACCATCTGCTGAAACAGTTTACTGGGATGTGGCTCTTGTGCATGCTACAGCTTCTTGGAGCCACAGTTGAGAGTTGAGTGACAGGTGGACTCCAAAGGTAGAAAGCAGTCCTGAAAAGGATTCTGCAGCCCTTACACTTGAGCTACTAATCTTCCCTGAACAACTATATATACCTATTAATAACCACATACAAACAAGACATACACACGATAGATAGAAGGTAATCACACAGGGAAGGCATTGGTAGGTAGGTAGATGGACTAGGATAGAGTCCGGAAGAAGATGGGATTTGAGTTAAATTTTCCAATTATGGGAGCTTAGAAACTGAGGGAGGAGGAAGAGTATTCCAGATAGTCCCCCAGGGATAGAGGACAAGCCACTTCAAAGGCATGAAATTAGGAGATGGAATGTGGTGTATGAGGAACAGCAAGTAGGTCAGTGTAGCTGGGCTGGAGAGTATTGGCTGTGTTGCATGTCTGGAATGCTCTCCTCCCTCACCACTACTGCTCAATTTCCCTGGCTTCTTTCAAGACAGCTCAAATCCCACCTTCTGCAGGAAGCTGAGAGTGCCTTCCTCTATGAGATTACCTTCCATATACTGTATGTACTTATTTACATGGTGTAAACTACTGAAAGATACATTATATCATTTTCTTTTACTTAATACAGTATTACAGTATTACTTAATACAGTATTCTATTTGTATACACATAATGTCAAGAGAAGGCCCCGAAGACATTGGCTGGACCCTGCTTGGAGGATACAGACAAGAATTGCCCTGAAAGGGCAGCAAAATGTATATTTTGATGTGCAGTGTTGTAGGAAGTATCTCCAATAACCAGTACCGGGTATTTCATATCCATCTCTTCCTTGTGAGATGTCTTTTTTATGAGTCTTTTTCCATAGAATCTCAAAGCTGACAACATATAGATAAGTGGTCATTCAATATTTGAAGACCTTCAAATGGAACATTCCTAAAGCAGCTCATTCCTCATTAAAGTGTAAGTGTAAGAAAGTGTAAGAAAGATTTTGTTGTTGTTTTTTCTTACATCAAACCTATAGCTTGCTCTTATATCGACCCATCTTCACCCTGGTTCCAAGCAGAGCAAGTCCACATTATGGTATAGCTATTATATTTTAAGAGAGTTATTGTTTTACCTATAGTTTTCATTTTCTCTGTTTCAGTCTGTTGGCTGGCGCTTAGCATTAGAGGGGCAGTATTTCCTTTACTCTGCCCTCTCCCTTCCCCCACCTTCCTCCCCTCCACTTTTATTTACTATCACAATCTTCAGTAGATTGACTTTTGGAAGGGGGTGGGAGAGTTTATAAATATGAAAGATCGAAAACCAGCTTTTCCATTGGCTACCATAAAGTAGCCAATCAGAGTGCTTTATTTTCGCGCTCAGTATACGTTATAAAAGAGTCACTTTAGGCACTTCATACATTGCTTTGGTTTTTTTATTCCAACACTAAGAGCATTTTGGAGTTTGTTATCATGTCTGGACGTGGAAAGCAAGGTGGCAAAGCTCGCGCCAAGGCAAAGTCGCGGTCCTCTCGGGCTGGTTTGCAGTTCCCAGTGGGCCGTGTACATCGGCTTCTCCGAAAAGGCAGCTATTCGGAGCGAGTAGGAGCTGGAGCACCGGTGTATTTGGCCGCTGTACTAGAATATCTGACAGCCGAGATCTTGGAGCTAGCTGGCAACGCGGCTCGGGATAACAAGAAGACGCGCATCATTCCCCGGCATCTTCAGTTGGCCATACGCAACGACGAGGAACTAAACAAGCTGCTGGGCAAAGTCACCATAGCCCAGGGTGGCGTCCTGCCTAACATTCAGGCGGTGCTGCTGCCCAAGAAGACCGAAAGTCACCACAAAGCCAAGGGCAAATAAGTCACTTGAGACAATCCTGCCTTTTTGCATTTGATCTTGCTGAAAACCAAAGGCTCTTTTGAGAGCCAACCACATTTTCAAGGAAAGAGTTCATTCATTTTCACTAGCAATTTAACTTTTGAATACGATGTTTTATAGCTAAGCGAAACCTACCCGTTTTACCCCTCTCCAGCAGTACTTGCTAAATGAACTTACCCATAATTCGTAAGATAGGATGAAATTTTGATAGTGCTAATTCGGGAGCCCAGAGTCTGACTTACTAAATTTAAATCATTTCAACCTAAAGTCATTAATTTAGATTCCTTATAAAAAGGGTATTTCGGAGGGAAGAGGTATGCATTCCTTTTTAAGTTTCTAAAGGAGTTTCCCCCCCCCTTTTTTGATTGAAGCACAACCACTTCATTTATCAAGTTAAAGTGATGCCAGAAAATCCTCATTTAAGATTCCTAAAACGGTGCTAACATGGTATTTTAACTCGTTAGGGGATCGCCCACAGTTTTCCCCTCCCATGTCCCACTTAGAGAAAGCTTATAGATAATTGAGAAGGCGGTCAGGCATTCTACAGCAAACCACCCTAGTACTGGAATGGTGGTTTAAAGGAAGCAGACTTGAAGACCTTTGGCGGGGAGCGAGGTGGTGAGGCAGTGCTTTCTTATGCCGCCTTCTTCGCCTCGCTCCACCACCAGCCCACACACTCAATTCCTAACCCCCTCCCACTCCCATCCTCGCCACTGTCCGGGATTCCCGACGAAAATACTCTGGCTCTGCGCAGATTCTACAGTTTAGCCAAACAGCCGCTTAAATTCTAACTCCCACAACAGGGTGTCATGTCAGGGTGTCAAAAAAATCTTTTTCTGTGTTTGATGAACCTCTGATATTCTGGTAAAGCCATTCTCAGAATAAATGTTTCTTTTTTAATTGAATTTATGCTGAATTTTAGTTAGAGGTTAATGAAAATATTTAACTTTCCCCCATGTAACCAAGTTCATAGACTCCCTGAAATCTATCCACAGACTACTTCAGCGTCCGTGAATCCCAGGCTAAGAAGCTGTGATTTAGTGGAAAGAGCTCTGGATTTGTTGTCGGCTTGTATTTGACTTGTGGGTAATCCGTTTCATTACCTGGAAGTTAGTTTCCTCTTCTGTAAAATAAGAGAGTTGCTTTATGCCATATCGCTAAGCTTCCTTACAGCTCGAAATTATAAAATATTGAAATGGCTAAATTCACATAAAGACAATTCAACTTTGAGTCCTGAAATCTATAGGAAATTCTTATTCAGTTCGATAAAATGGACTACACGTAATCGATGTGTTTTAACAGCTAGGAATTTTTTTTAAATGTGATTTTATTAACCTTATCCCACTGAGAATAAAATATTCTCAAATATTTTAAAAGCACATTCATGCTTCTCCACCTCTATTCTCCGGGTTTCCTTCCTACGAGATGCAATTTGGACAAAAAAAAATTATTTTATAAAATAAAAAAGTTTCCGTCTCTTTCTCCTGGGTTTTGTTGGTAGTTCACAGAGAATCTAATGATTTCTGCTTTCAGAGAGACAAATCATTCTTTCAAGTCAAAATGCAAAAATAATGCAGAATTTTTTAAAAAAAATGTCCAGAAAGACCAATCACAAACCAGCGTGGACTTTTAAAATGTTAATGAAAAAAAATCAGTTTTATTCTGACGAACATTGTGATTCTAGTAGCAAGGAAAATAAATCTTCATTATTGACTTTGCTCATTAAACTGGCTTTTTACTCAGTGGTATTAGAGGATTGAATTAAAAACCAATTAAGACATAACGCGGGACTTTCGAATGTTGTTTTGTCCAATCAGGAGAGAGTCACTTCTATAAATACGGCCAGAAAGAGTTCAGTTGCGCTTTTGTTACGAGAAGTTCGCTTTAGGTTGTCTCTGTAAAATGGCTCGTACTAAGCAAACTGCTCGTAAGTCCACTGGAGGGAAGGCACCTCGAAAGCAGCTGGCTACAAAGGCAGCCCGCAAAAGTGCTCCGGCCACTGGTGGCGTGAAGAAGCCTCACCGTTACCGCCCAGGCACCGTGGCTCTGCGGGAGATCCGCCGCTACCAGAAATCTACAGAGCTGCTGATCCGCAAGTTGCCCTTCCAGCGGCTGGTGCGCGAAATCGCGCAGGATTTCAAGACTGATCTGCGCTTCCAGAGCTCGGCCGTGATGGCCTTGCAGGAGGCGAGTGAATCTTACCTTGTGGGACTGTTTGAGGACACTAATCTGTGCGCCATCCACGCCAAGCGTGTGACCATCATGCCCAAGGATATCCAGCTGGCTCGCCGCATCCGTGGGGAGAGGGCTTAAGCTACTATGAGGAGCAAAAAAAATCCAAAGGCTCTTTTAAGAGCCACATGTATTCTCAATGAGAGCTGTAATAACACTTGTTACTGAAAAGGGTAAGTAAGACCTGGATAACTGAGTTCGTGGCTTTTTGAATAACTGGTGCAAATAGTGCGTGTCTTGGCTTTTAATGCACGTTTTTTCAAGTGTGGCTTGTCTAGTTTTCGTCATATGTGTAGTTTACTGACCAGTTTTATTAAAGGTATTTATCAGAATAAAATTTACCTCTATTGCTTTGGCTGTATCCTAGAATTAAGTTTTTGCTATTTTGTCTTAATTGCCATTTTCTTGAAATCACTGTTTCTTGATCTGTCGAACAGATTAAGTTACTTAATCTCAATCTTTTTCAAAGGGTCTTTACTGAACATAACTTGAACATCTTGTCTGCAAAAGACGGCTTACTATTTTTTCCCTTACGCATTTTTGTGAGGTTTTTATGTTCTAATGCTCAGTTGTAAAGGTGCTATGTTTGCTCCTTATTCAACAAATGTCTGAGAGGTGAAGGAGATAGTGGCAGAAGGCATACTAATGGTAAATTGAATAGGAGAGAAAGAGCTATTGGAGAATGGCCTTTGTTTTTTCAGCAAAATAGGAAGCACATTTCTCAACTGAGTGTAAGGGAGGAGGAGTCATGGGCAGATTTAAGAAGGAATAAATGGGAGAACCCTTGTAGTAACTGGGATGGTGACTTGATTACGCAGGTATGGAAAGATTTCTGCTGCAGTGAAGAAGAGCCTGATGAGGTTATGTAATATAAATGCTAATACACCCAGTCTGTATGTCGGATTTTCAGAAACAAGGTGGCACAGAATGATCAAAGGTTGAGGCTTGACCTCAAAGAGGTATCTTTTGTCAAAGGACATGATGTAACTTTTTAGTAACTTTGGAAAACATACAGTATTTCCAAATTGCTTTCTAAAATGACTGGACCAACTCAACTCCATCATTGGTCTACTAATGTGCCTATTTTATTTTAGCTACTCCAATATTTGCCTCTTTTCTCCAGATTGCCTTCACAAATCATTGCCCTTTCTCTCTTCCTATCTGCCTGTTGCCTAAAAACACATCCAAGATCCCACTATCCTGAAAAACATCTCACCAGGTCTTATATTCCCTCAAACTATTGTCCTATATTTATCTCTACTCTATTTCTCCACCTAACTCCTAAAATAAAAGCTGTTTACACTCTTTGCCTCAGTTTCTTAACCTTTCATTTTTCAGAACTTTGCAGTCTGATTTCTGACTTCAAAACTCGTATGAAAACTACTCTGTACTAAATTATTAATGATCGATTAATTGCTGGATCTGATTCTATTCATACTTCTTGACCTTTCTATAGCATCTGACACTGGTAAATACCTTCTCCCCCTGGATAATCCTTTTTCTCTGGGATTACACTTTCTCACTTGGCAACTGCATCAATCTCCATGGATTTAGTTATTTCTATGTAAATAACTTCCAGATATAGGTATGCATGTATATGCATATCCATACATGCACACACACATCCCTACCCAGACTGTAAACTGTTATTTTCTATTGGCTCTCATACGAGTCTTGTTTTCCCTAACCAGTGAATAAACCTTTTCATGAAAAAGGAGGAGGAGGAGGAGGAAGATAATGATAAGAACTGAGGAGAAGGAGGTTGAGGAGGAGGAGGAGGAAAACTCTGGAAGTCAGGGACTGGTTTATTTTTGTTTCTTATCCTCAGCACTTACCATAGTGGTGCCTGGCACATAATAAGGCTGGCTGTTTGACTAACCCTAACAGCGCTCCCAGAAACCTGTTTCACTGCGGAGTCTAGGGGTTCAACATCTCCACAATCTTGGAAATCAATCCTAGAAATTTATTAAATGATGACTGTCATTTGGATAGTTTGGATACATCATCTGGAAGGCAGCTAGGGGCTCTACAAGGCAGAGACGAGGAGGGAGAGCATTCCAGGCATGGGGGACAACTTTTGCCTGGGCAGAGATGGGAGAATTCATGTCTTGTATGGGGGAAAGTAGGGCAGCTAGATCGACAGTGAACAGAGTGCTGGACCTAGAGTCAGGAAGACAGGAGTTCAAGTCTGACCTTTGACACAGGCTAGCTGTGTGACCCTGGGCAAGTCACTTAACCCTGCTTGCCTCCGTTTCCTCATCTGTAAAATGGGCTGGAGAAGGAAATGGCAAACCGCTCCAGGATCTTTACCCAAAAAAAATTTAAAAAAAAACCCTAAATGGAGTCAGGAAGAGTCAGACACAATTGAAATGACTGAACAACAAATGGGGGATAACAAGCAGGCCAATTTCACTGGACCACAGAGAACAAGAGATGGAGCAACGTTTGGTAAACCTGGAAAAGTACCCAGGGGCCAGATAGGATAGGATTTTAAATGCCAATCAGAGGACTTCTAGTCTAACTCAAAGGTAATGGAGAGCTATTTAAGTTTCTTGAATGGAGGAGAGGAGAGACAGGGGCAGGTTTGTGCTTTAATATTATTACTTTGGTAGCTGTGTAAAAGATGAATTGGAGAGTCTGGGATGAAGAATAATGAGTTGAGTACATATTAAATTTGAGAAATCTATAGGATATCCAGGTGGAGCTGTCCGGGAGACAGTTGGTGATATAGGACAAAAGCTGAAGAAAGGAGGGCTGAAGGATTTGGGAGTCATCTGCATAGAGATAATAGCTGAATCTGTGACCAAAATTTATCAGAGAATCTGTGACGAAATTACTGCTGCCAATCATCACATCGACTACTCAGAGATAAGAACACAGGCTGCATTGAACTCTTACCAATCATTCAACCAATCCTGAGCAACCTCTTATAGAATGTGATTACACAAGCAAGATGAGTCCAATAGAATTTTAATGAGAGCAGAAGGGGAAGGTAAGGGTTTACAAATCAGGAAACAGATAACAGAAGGGGAAGATATTCATGTCTGTATCAGGAAGGACAGGGAACCAGTTGGTCAAAATTGGAGCTGTATTTTACTTCTCAATCTTGATTTTTTAGCAAACTTCAGCATGACACATAGCCAAAATGGTATCAGGAAGTTCAAGATAGAGTCTGAGGCAACGTTTTTCTTAGCACAGTGGAGGCAAGAAGCCTGAGCCAGAAATTCTCTTGTCACACATCTAAGAGTGAAATCACCAAGAACAAGACTGAGTAGAGAGGAAAGAGGAAAGGAAGGGAATAAGTTTTTTTAAGTGCCTAATATGTGACAGGTATTATGACGCTGTTGTTTTCCTCCATTTTTTGAAGTAGACTAATGATATCACAGGGTGATATTCCTCTTGAATTGGATATAAGTGAGGCAGAGTTGTCAGCCTCACTCTCTTTTCCAGAGTTATCAAAAGTACAGTGGCAGGATAAAAGTCAAGACGACTGGTGATGGCCTGGAATGCAGTGGATGATTTTGGCATCTTCCATTGTCTAACCAAGCTCTAAGTTTCAGCCACCTCAAGGGCCTTTGGAACAAATTGTTCTCATCCACCCATTCTGCCAGAGGAAGTCTTCACATGCTTGGGGTAGATGTCTCCCTAACTCACCAAGGGGTTCAAGACCTGTTGTTTACCCTCAACCTGCTTTAGGCCATCTGCTGAAATGGTTTACTGGAATGTGGCTGCTATGCATGCTACAGCTTCTTGGAGCCACAGGTGAGATTTGAGTGACAGGAGGACACCAAAAGTGGATAAGTAGCCCTAAAAAGAGCTCACGTCTCCCTAGTTTCAGGCACAGCACTCTATTCAATGCACCACCTAGCTGCCTCTTAAGAGGAGACAGCTTGGGTCAGGATTGACATGCAAGAGGATTGACACATAATAATAACAATAATAATAATGATGATGATGACGATGCACATCTATATAGCACTTTCTAGGTGCCAGGCACTGTTCTAAGAACTTTACGGTAAATAAATTTATTTGAGCCTCACAGCAACCGTGAGAAAGATATTATTAGCACCTTCACTTTACAGATGAGGAAAGTGAGGCAAACAGGTTAAGTATGTTGCCCAGAGTTACACAGCTAAGTGTCCTAGCTATGCACTGCACTTTATCTTCCCCTTCTGTTGTCTGTTTCCTTATTTGCAAACCCTTACCTTCCCCTTCTGCTCTCACTAAAATTCCACTGGACTCACTCCACTTATGTAATCCCATTCTATATAAGGTTGCTGAATCTGATACTCAGGGTTGGATGAATGATTGGTAAGAGTTCAATGAAGCCTGTGCTTTTATTTCTTAGTAGTTCACTGATGATTGGCAGCAGTACCTCTGTCACAGATTCCCTGATAATTTCAGTCCTAGGCTGAATTTGAACTCATAACCTCCTGACTTCCGGGCCCTGTGTCCCATCCACTGAGCTACCTAGCTGCTACAAGGATACATTCACAATGGAGAAGTGTCGGGAAAACCCAGGCTGGTGAGATGTCCGGTAGGAGGCGGTGGCCCACGGTGATTACTTTCACGCCCCCTAAAGCCATCGGAGAAGAAGCCAATCGTCTCAAACTGCCTCACGCGAAGACCCGAACCTTTCGCCTGGGACGGTTCCCAAGACATCGTGACGACACTGACGTAGGCCGCAGAGCATTTTCCAATCCAAAAGGAGCCATCCGCGCACCGACATCACGTGACAGGAACCGGCCAATCCGGAAAGAAGCGGGTTGTTCCAAACAAGTCTCCCTCCTTCCTGCTTCCGCCTCCTGCTCAGTTTCCTGCCCCGCTTCTCTCCGCGGCCGCTTGGGCTCCCGTCCCGGCACCTTCGCGTGCCCGCCCCCTCGCTTGGGATGGTAGCGGACTCGGGGCTCCGGGAGCAGCTTCCCAGCAGCTGAAGCCTGCCCATCCGATCCGGTGGTCGAAGTGCTTGGCAGACCGCCTCCCCCCGCCCCCGGCTGTCACCACCCAATCCCGGGCCGAGATTACCCAAGCGCGGGGAGCTTGGACCGGTCGAGCCTTCCCAAGGCCGGCGGCTTGTCCTCCGCGCTTCTCCCGGGGCTCGCTCGGCGGCCTTTCCAGGGGCGGGCGCTGGGATGGGCCGCTTCCTGCGCTTACCCAGACGGTCGCTTTAGGGAGGCTGGGGACTCTCAACCTGCTTTTGCCGGGTTATCAAAGCGTCCGAGGGACGGACGGACGGACGGACGGAGCGACCGACCCTCCCTCTTCCTTCCCTGGGCAGTAGCCATGGCGGCCCCCGATCTGTCTGCGAACCTCCAGGAGGAAGCCACCTGCGCCATCTGCTTGGACTACTTCACGGACCCCGTGATGACCGACTGCGGCCACAACTTCTGCCGGGAGTGCATCAGCCGCTGCTGGGGACAGGCCGAGGGCCCGTTCCCGTGCCCGGAGTGCAGAGAGATGTCCCCACAGAGGAACCTGCGGCCGAACAGGCCGCTGGCCAAGATGGCCGAGATGGCCCGGCAGCTGCACCCGCCGTCGCCCGTGCCCCAGGGCTCGTGCGCGAAGCACCGGGAGCCGCTGAAGCTCTTCTGCGAGGAGGACCAGGCGCTGCTGTGCCTCGTGTGCGAGCGCTCCCGGGACCACTGGACCCACCGGGTGTGCCCCGTGGAGGACGCCGCTGAGGACTACAAGGTGAGGCGACGCCCGGGGCCGGGGCACCCGGGAAACTGCAGCCGGAAAGAGGAGGTGACCCTAACAAAGTAAATGGCCGAGCCAGGCCCCGCACCCGAAGCGAAGGGCCAGGGCTCCGGAGCAGCCCTTCAACCAGTCCGGCATTGAAAGGGGGAAGGAACCCTGGGGCGCCACTCCAGTTTTTTTTTCTTTTTTGGGGGTGAAGTAGTCGGGGTTAAGTGACCTGTCCAGGGTCACACAGCTAGTGTCAAGTGTCTGAGGTCGGATTTGAAGTGCTCTATCCACCTCACCACCTAGCTACCCCTCACGGCACAGATTTTAAAGAGTCCAGACCTCTGGGTCTGGGGCGCTGCATGAAAGAACAACGAATAAAACTTAGTTTTGCAGCTCCTTTCTAAGAGTACTTTGAGGAGAGTTCATCATACTCTAATTTCAAGGGCCAGGCGATGTACTATGCCAGTTTTCTGAAGAGCACCGCCTGGCTAAGTATAGAGAGATTCCTCCCACCTAGCCGCCCCATCTACTTCCTTCTTATCCACCTAAAAAATGTCAGGCCTTGGTAATTCTAAAAAACCTTGAACCTTAACCTGTTGTCCCATCTTTTTTATTTATTTATATGCAACTTTTGGAGAAAGTAGTCTATGCATTTCCTCACTGGTAATCTGGTTTTTGTTCCCTGCCACTGTTATTTAAGATGGGGGGTGGGGTGGGGAGGACACAAGTATTTATTTAGTTCCTTCTATCTGCCAGGCCTTGTGCTAATCGATTTACAAATGCCTCACAATTCTGAGGTAGGTGCTGTTATTATCCCCGTTTTACAGTTGAGGAAACTGAGTCAAATGGGTTAAGTGACTTGCCCAAGATCACACAGCTGTTAAGTTTCTTCAGGCCTGACCTCTATGCAGAATTTATACTTTCTTTCTGAATGTAAGCCCCTTGAGGGCAGAGAATATTTTGGTTTTTTGACTGTTTCCCATGGGCCTACCACAGTGATTTACTTTGTCTCAACCCATCATGTCACGGTTCTCTCTACTGTCTCTTGTATCTATTTTCCCGTACCAATCTCATTTACTTAAAGAATCATCGGTCACCTCCTATTGCTCCCAAATGCAACTTATAAAAATTTCTTACCTGGATTATAGTTACTATCCAGTTGACTCATTACCATCTCAAAGGAAGTATCTCCAAACCTAAGCATTTTCATAAAAACATTTTCTTCTGGTGTTACTTTCTGCCAGTACATGTTCAAAATAGGTATTTGTTTTGGTTGATGATAATGTATAAAGTCAAATATCAGTTCTGCTTGGTATTTAAAGTTGGTGGAAAATATTAATACTTTATTTTAGGCACAGTCTACTGGAAACAGCTTTTATTCATTTAACATTATTCAAAATCCTAACATATCTAGCTTAGAGAGAGAAATATTTTCCCAATTGACAGAGAAATACCTCAGTTGACTGTGACCCTCCTCCACGTCTTCAAACATCTCTCTCTTCCAAGACAACTTGAAGTAATTTAGTAATCTTGAACAACACAAGAAGATATCACAATATGATAAAAAGTTTTTCAGGGTCAGCATTCTAGAACAGTTAGTTAGTCACTTGATTTTTCAGAAACTCTTCCTGAGAAGCAGAACTACTCATTCTTCTTTGACTCCTTAAGGGCATTTCCATCCCTTCGCTTTCCTGACTCCTAGGCTGGTCATTGGTGATCACAGTAGTAAACAAAGGGACCTCTTTCCTCTAATCAGTATCCTCATACCTTCAGGAAAGAAAGAGGGGGATACTGCTTAGATTGGCCCTAGTACTCTTCATTTCAGGGGATGGGGAACAGTGATCTCAACTAGAAAAAAAGTACTTTTTTTTGTTTCTATCCTTATTTCAATTTTGTTCTTCCCCCTTTTTTTTTCTGAGTCTGGAAAGGATTTTTGGACTAGAGAAGTATTTTGATTTTTGAATGAAAAAAGGACATTTTTAGATGTTTTCTGCAAAACTTTTCAAACTTGGCCCCAGTCTACTTTTTCAACCTTACTATTCATGACTCCTCTTCACACACACTAAAATCCAGCCAAACTGATTCAAACATAAACGTCATTTCCTGTTTCTATAATTTTATACTCCTTCCTCTTAGAATCTATAGTTGTCTTCACGGGCCACTTCAAGTGCCATTGTCTGCATGACCCTCCCCTTTCCCTTCACATTTCCTAATTTTGCTAATACTATATGTACATGTTACCCTGCCATCCATAGTAGAATTATAAATTTCTTGAGGGCAGGAGGCTATTTCTCTTTTGTCTTTGCATCAGCACCTAGCACAGTCAATTAGCATTTCTTACATGCCTACTTTGTATGTGTTGGACACTGTGATTCAATGGTTGAATTGTGAGAGAGAAAGACTCCATTTAGCAAGTCTTATGTTCTCTTTTTGGAATACTCTTCCTGTCATTTATTCTGTTCAGTCATTTATTGGCTACCTATTGCCTTCCAAGGAAAATCAAAACTTTGCTTGATTAATCAAGCATTTTATCATGTGCCTTCTATATGCCAAGCACTGTTCTAATATCTAGGGTTACAGAGACAAAAAAAAATCAGACAATCTCCACTCTCAAGGAGTATTCATTGGAGAAATGGAGAAAAATTCAAATGGTGAGAAAAATGCAAAAGATGTGTGCCCATAAATAGCTTATATTGTAATAACACATAGAGGAGTGGAAACCAGGGAGGAACACTTTGGTTCTGGAAGTTACAGGGATGGCATGTGGGACCATTGAGGAAGAGATTGTTATACCCCTTCCGGGAACCATGGCAGAGATGATTATATTTGCATAACTATAAAACCAAACTCCAGAGAAGGTTAGAGGAAATAACTGGGAAGAGAATGTAAAATGAAGCATGACTGAGCCTATCTGAAATCGTGGGTTAGGTGAGGTAGTCATCAATCAGCAAGGGATGAGAGAGTTAAAGGAAGGAGATTAACACGTTGAGTACAAAAGAAATAAAAAGTAGTTAGGGAGAGTATTAACATTGGGATATTAGTGAAAAAGTACCATGTAGAAGGTACTGCTTGAGCTGTGTCTTGAAGAGAAGAATTTTGTGTGTAGAGGGAGAGCATCCTGGCATGAAACAGAGGGGTCATTGTGCATGGAACATAGAAGTCCAGTAAACAGATACCAGGTTAAGAAATTGGACCTTAAACTACAGGGTGGTGGGCATATAGAAATTATAAAAGAAATCAAAAACTGAATGAATTTTCCGTAAGGAATGGGGAAAGATTGGGTGCTCCTGTACTGCTGAGGGGTTAATCAGTCTCATCTCTCCTCTAGGGAAAGTTGGAGAAATCACTGGAGCACCTGAGGAAGCAAATGGGGGAAGCTCTACAGTTTCAGACTCAGGGAGAGGAGACCTGCATTATTTGGCAGGCAAGTGACTGGAGCTGCAATGGGATCTTTCCTGTTACCTTGTTGTGAGTGACTGGAGGGGAAGAGGGAATGAGAGATGTTGAGAGTAGCCAGACTGGCCAGGGAACGCCCAGGCACAAGTCCAGGAGTGTGGGTCTTTGAGGCACTAGCTTAAGTAGGAAGAACAAATGCAACTAAGTGGGAATAAACAGGGAAAGAGGCGACGTAGGTCAGAGCTTTCTTCTCCCCTTCTTGATCTACAGAAAATGGTAGAGAGCCAGAAACAGAATGTTATCGCCGAGTTTGATAAGCTTCGACAGTTCCTGGCTGAGGAGGAGCAGAGACTCCTGCAGAAGCTGGAGGAGGAAGAGAGGGAGACTCTGCCTAGGCTCAGGGAGAACAAGGCTAAGCTGATTCAGCAGAGCCATTCCTTGGAAGAGCTGATCACAGAGCTAGAGGAGAGATGCCAACGGTCTGCCTTGGGCTTGTTGCAGGTGAGTCTTAGTTCCTTTAATTTTAGAGGCACAGAGGTAAGAGATGGAAGAGGGCCTAAGTTAGATGGATTGTTGGTCTCCTGTAGTTAGAACAAGTAGCTTTATTTAGTTCCCTCTTTTGGACAACTGTTCTTTTTTCCCTTTCTCTTCTCCACCTATCAACAACCCTATTTGGCACTGCTTATTATTTTGATTGGGATTTGTACCAGAGACCTGTGAGAAGTCGGGGTGGGGAAGGAAGAGACATGGAAGAAAGGCTGAATGAAGAATATGAGATCTGGGGAATGGAGTTCAAGTAGTTTAGCCAGAAGAGGAGGCTGAGAAAAGGGAAAAGAAATTATAGTTACTGAGCCCTCTCCTGTATACACATCAAATTCTTTAGATATCTAGTTCCTCACACATGATAAGTACTTAATAAGTGTTTGTTGAATTGAGTTGAATTTGTTACTCAGCCCCAGTTCCTCAAAAAAGGGATTCCCCAATGCTAAGAAGGTAAAGGTGTATAGAAGAGGAAATCTCTATATTATTCCAGTTTTTGTGTATTCTCTTCTTCCTACCCTGATGTCTCATTACATAATATGGAGGTGACTGGCTAAATCTGGCCTGTATAGACTGTTTAGAAGTTGTCATTTGAGAATTAGCCCTAGAAGGTGAGGGCGTAAGAGAAATGAGAAAGTCCTTCCTACCTATCTTCCTCAGGAAGTATTCTGAACTGGATGTGTCAGGGGACTCCATTATATTAGAAAATGTAAAAAGATAGTTCGAGTCTCTTCCTTTCTTGCCCTGCCTGGGGATTATTAGTTCCTAGGAGGTCCACTAGATCAGTGATCTCATTGATGTGGGAACTCTTTCCAAAGGTACAGATCACACCCCAACCCTACCTTATCTTGTGTAACTCCTGTCCGTGTCCTTCATAAACTTTTTTCCACAAAGAATAACCTTAATGTGTTGGGGGGGGGGGAGCTCCTCTAGAAAGGCACTAATGAACACAAGAGCTGTCTATTGGTTTGGTGTCATTCATGCTACATGACCAGCCCAGCTCCTTTTCCAGGAATAAATTTCTGATGACTTTCTTCTCTTCTGTGTACCTCTTCATTGAAAATATTTTATGGTGTCTTCACTCCCATTATGTGCCTCACCATTGCCCTTCAGGTGCAACTTTAATTCTCCTGAAGCTGTAGTGACATATAGCATCACTAGAAGAATTTTGAAGACAGACATTTAATAACATGGATATTTGCTTCAGAGAAATGCTTGGAGTTATTGAAAACACAGCTCAACTTCCCAAAGGCAATCCAGTCAATAAATCAGCAAGTATTTTTTAAATGCCTGCTATGTGTCAGGAATTGTTTGAGGCTATGGGGATACTAAGACAAAAATGAAACAGTCTCTACCCTGAAGCGTTTTGTGTGTGTGTGTGTGTGTGTGTACATACAAAATAAATACAAGGTACTTTGTGGAGGGTTCTGTCCTGTACTTTTCTTCTTTTTTTCCCTTTGTACTCCTTCACTTGATCTCATTAACTCTTATGGATTTAATTACCATCTCTATGCTAATGATTCTGAAATCTACCTATCCTGTCTCAGTCTCTCTGCTGACCTCCAATTTTCCATCTTCACCTGCCTTTCAGACATCTCAAACCGGACGTCCAGTAGACATTGTAAACTCAACATGTCCAAGTAGAATTCATTGTCTTTTCCCCTACACTCTGCCCTTTATCCCTTCTGTGACTTTCCCTGTTACTGTAGGAGGGGAAAACCACCCTCCCAGTCCCTCAGGCTCAAAACCTAAGCATCATCCTGACTCTTCACTACTTCTTTCACTCCCTGTATCCTATCTGTTGCTAAGGCCTATACATTTCTTTTTTGCAATATTTCTCTAATAAACCCCTTTCTCTCCTCTGACCCTGTTATCACTCTGGTGCAGATCCTCCTTACCTCATGCCTGGACTGTTGAAATAACCTAATGGTGGGTGTGCCTATCCCAGGTCTCTCCATTCTAATCCATACTTCATTCAGCCAGTAAATTGATTTTCCTAAAATCTGACCGTGTTACCCTCCCTCCCACTCAGTAAACTCCAGTGACTTCCCATTGCCTCTAAGATCAAATATAAAATCCCCTGGCTTTTTAAGCCCTTTTTAGCCTAACCCCCTCATACCTTTCCAGTCTTTTACAACCTAGATTCAGTGACACTCTCCTCCTTGCTGTTCCACTAGCAAGATACTCCATCTCTCAGCTCTGGAATTTTCTCTGGCTGTGCCCCTTCTCATCTCTACCTACTGGCCTCTCTGGCTTCCTTCAAGATCCAACTAAAATCCTGTCTTCTATAGGAAGCCTTTCTCAACCCCTCTTAATTCTAGTGCCTCCCCTCTCTTAATTATTTCCTATTTATCTTGCACATAGCTTGTTTATACATGTTTGTTTGCTTATTGTTTCCTCCATTAAGTCATGAGCTCCTTGAGGGCAGGGACTGTCTTTTGCCTTTTTTGTATCCCTAACACTTAGCACAGTGCCTGGCACATAATAGGTGCTTACAATATGTTAATTAACTCGCTGGAGGAGAGAAGAAATTGTACTAGCAGCTTATGGTTAGGGGGTTGAGATTTATAAAGGTTTCGTATAGATATTGGTGCTTGATTGGAGTTTTAAAAGAATTTTAAGAATTGGAAGTGAGGGAGGGAGTTCATTCCAAGCATAGTGGTCTGTTTTGCAAAGGCATAGACAGAAGACAGAATGTTATATGTGAGGCACATCAAAAAGGCCTGTTTGGCTAGAGTGCAGGAAAGAAAGAGTATGTAATAATGCCGAAAGGGTAGGTTGGAGCCAGGTTATGAAGGACTTTAAATGGCAAACAGGAGTTCATATTTGATCCTCAAGGCAATAGGGAGCTCCTGGAGTATTTTTGTGTAGGGGAATAACATGACCTACTTTTTAGAGTGAAATCCATTTGTCAGCATTTTAGAGAATGGAAGAGGGGAGAGAGAGCCACATTTGACTCAAAGATATAAATTATGGGGCTCTTGGAATATTCCAGGTGAGATGTGAAAATGGGCCAAAGTAGGGTTCTGGCCAAGTGAGTAGAGAGATAAGGGGACAGATAAAGGAGATGTAAAGGGAGGTGTGACAAGATTTGGCAGCTGATTGGGTATGTAGAGTTGAGGGAGAAAGAAGAGTGGAGGTTAATGCCAAGGTTGCAAATTTGAGTGATTGAGAAAAGGTAGTGTCCTTGATAGAAACACAAAGAAGTTCCATAGAAGGCAGGGTTTTTAGGGAAAGATAAAAAGTACTCTTTTGCAGATATTGAGTGTCTCTGGGAGATTTTGTTTATAGTATCCAATAGGCTAGACTTAAAGATCTAGGGCTAGATTTATAGATCTGGGACTCCCCTTCATAGGGATAACAGTTAAATCCATGGGTGTTGATCAGATCATCAAGTGAGAAAGTATCTAGAGAGAAGAAAAGAGGGCCTAGGATAGAAACTTGGGACACACCACAGTTAGGAGGCATAATATGATCTAGCAAAGGAAACTAAGAAGGAACAGACAGTAGGAGGGGAATCAGTAGAGAGCAGTGTCATGAAAACCAGAAAGGAGAGAGTAAGCAGGAGGGGATTGACATTGCCAAATGCTTTAGAAAGGTCTAGAAGAATAAGGATTGAAATAAGATCATCAGATTTGATAGCTAAAAAATTAATGGTAACTTTGGACAGAACAGTTTCAGTTGGGTGATAAGGTCAGAAATCAGATTGCAACAAGTTGGGGAGTGTCTTAGAGAGGAATATTAGAGACATTTCACTCCTGCCTGCTCTTCCAGTTCTGGGTCTGTCAAACTCATATGAAAGTGGAGGTGGGTGGGGAGGCAGGAGAGGCACTTTTGGAGATAGGGCCTTTAAAAAGTCCAGCCCACCAAGATGAAAAAGAGATTCACCCCAAATAATTAGAGGAATTTTTAAAAATAGCTGTTGGCTTTTTGCTGTTCTTGTATCTCTAAGGAATTAGATTATAGGCAAAGGTAATTGGCCCCTGATGGACTAGTGAGAATAGTAGGAGTTCCTTTCCTCCCTGCTCACTATTGACTTTCTTTTCTTCACACAGGATGTCAGAGAAGTACTGCATAGGTATGTGTTGGTTTTGCTTCTGTTAGAAGGGTGGGTGGGTGGGGGGGAGGAAGGGGGGGAGAATGCTTGAATGCTCATTGGCTGAGCCAGGTGGGACCTGTGCTCACCCTAGGAGTCAGGATGTGAAGTTGGAGCTGCCAGAGGTCGTTTCCATGGAGCTGAGGACTGTATGCAGGGTTCCTGGGCTGGTAGAGATGCTGAGGAGATTCAGAGGTAAGCGGGACCCTGAATTAACCAGATGTTTTTAGGCCTATTAACCTACTTGAACCTGTAAACACACACATTTCCTTGAACCTAACAGAAGTATGTAGAAAGAAGTGACTGATTTCCATTAGTCTCAGGCTTATTGCCTGATTTCTTTCTGGTCTGTTTATCCTCTTACTTATACTGGGTCCATATAGAACATCCTCTGGGCATGAGTACAAATTCATCTGCTGGGCTACCAGTCAAAAAGTGTAGGCAGGTGACTCACCCCTTCAGTTTTGTACATCTTTAATTCAGCAGATATTTTAAGCCCCTGCTTTGTGGGTATTATGCTAGGCACTGGGGTGGGCAGAATACAGAGAAGCATATGACAGCATATAATCCTCCCTATGGAGCTTATAGTTTAGGAGGGAAGAGAAGACATATACACACTGTATAGGCTTTCACATGAAAGTCTAGTGAATGTTAGGGCAAGGGTGGGAAAGATCACTTGTTTCTTGTTTTTCCATAAGCCTGGAAACTTGCTCATGTCCATGTGCTGAATTTCTACCCATCTTTTAAAGCCCAACTCTCCAATACCACTATTCTATAGAGGCCTTTCCTGATCTTTCAAGTCAGTGATGACCTCTCTACCTTCAGAGTTCACAAAGTACTTGTGTTGTACCCTTCTAATACACTTTTGTGTTATTTTTGTATTATCATTTATATACATCGTATTCTTCTCCTAGACTATAAGTTTAATAACGGCGGGAGCTGTGTCTTAGCCAAACTTTATATATCAATACCTAGCACAATAATAGGTACACAGTAGTACATTCTTAACTAATTTTACTTTAATAGGGGCAAATATGTTTAATCTTTACCCCACACTGCCATTTCTAGTTGGACAGATCTGGAGGGAATGCTTTGGGGAAGAATTGGCTTTCATTTTGGGTCTTGTGGATGGGTAGATATTGAGTTGGTGAGGAAGCCAATTTTAGGTGGAGGCAGCAAGGTGGGCAAGGGTGCACAGAGTTAAGACACTTTAGGCCATATTTTGGATGCAAATATAGCATGAAAGCGAGTAGTGAAAGATGAGTCAATCAGTGAGCAGTTATGAGCAATTTCTACATGTCAGACACTGTGCTAATAAGCATTGGGATACAAACACAAGGAGACAACTCCTATCCTCAAGAAGTTTACATTCTAATAGAAGACAACATAGAGTTGTGGCCGTGGAAGGGAATTTTATTCAGGACAGTCACAGGATGGTGGGTTGATATATAGAACAGTCAATTGATATGCCCTTTCTAGAAATTCTATAGATTTGGTTACTGTGTTCTCAGAACATGAATAGTAAAGGGCAAAAAAGGGAATTAGGTACCCTATGGCAGGTGGATGGTGGAGTGGTGTAGATGGTTAGGCATATGGGATGTGAAAGTGAAGCATTGTTTGAATTCTTGGGTCATCTAGATATGATCAGCTAAGTGACACTTAGTTTGAAATCACTCAAAACAAAAGTTTAGTAATAATGAGGTTTTTGGACAAGGTAATGACTTGATTCTGAGCTATACTTTAGGAAGAGTAATCTAGCAGTAGGGTGATTGCCTGTAGGAAGAAAGGCTGTTGTTAGGAGGTTAATTGTAGTTAAGTTGTGGCTTTTTATCTTGACCCCTAACATGAGCAGAAGACCCAAACTAGAGTGATGGCAGTGATAGAAAGGAGAGAAGGGGCAGGGAGTAGGTTTGGGGGGAAGATTATAAGGTCAATTTTGGATGTGTTGAATTTCATTTGTTGGTGGAAATGTTCAAGAGAGAGTTAGAAATGATGTGATGATCAAACTCAGGAAAGAGATTGGTAGTCATCAATATAGATGTGATATTTGAAGCAATCAGAATGGTGGAGATAACAAGCAAAAGGGGGGAAAACAGATTAAGAATAGAATAATGGGAAATTCCATCATTTAATGTTTAAGAAAATGAGTTAGTGAAAGAGAGACACGTGGGTCAGAGAAAAGGACTCTTAAGAGTATAGGGTCTTGGGAACCCAGGATGGAGATAAGTAAAAAGATGGAGAAGGTCAGCAGTGTCAAATGAAGCAGAGTAGATGAGAAAATAGCCATTGGATTTGGGAATTGGGAGGTCAAGGAGTTTGAGAGAAAGGAGTGGTGACAGAAACAATATTAAAATTGCTTGAGGAATAAATCTGTGGGGAGGAAGTAGAGAAAATAAGAGTGGATTATTCCTAAGAAGTTAGGTACTAAGTTGCAAATGGGAGAGAAAGAAAATGAAGGTAAGAGTAGTAAGATGGAGGATTTTTATTTTAGACTATAGAGATGGAAGATTTAAGGGAAAAATGGGATCAATGGTACCAAAGAACATGGGAAGGAATGTAATTGAGAGGTTATAAAGATTGTAGCATCTAGGAAAAGATTCTGAGGACACAAGGGGAGAATTAACCTTGAAAAAGAGAAGATTCACTTCTTTCTCTGAGTCAGGAGGAAAGAATGAGATGAGAGTACAGAGAAATTTTTAAGAGGAACATTGAGAAGTTTACATCTGATGACATCTTTTCTGCACTCGATTAGAGGAAATTGCAGAGAGCAGAAGGAGGAAGGATGGAGGGAACAACAGGCACAAGCCAAGGATACAGCTCTGAAGCAGATGTTTGGGAAGAAAGAAGTGATAGTGGCAAGAGTTGGTTGATGTATGTTAGATGGAAGGAGAGAAGCATGCTGAGTCAGATGCCATGATCCATTCCCTTCTTTAGGGATCTGTTTGATCATATAACTAGGAGAAAATGAGAGCAAGATAGATTGACCAATAACTGAGGAAGAAAGTAAGGGACAGAACTAGCTTAAAATTATCTAGAGGCAAGTACAGGATGGGGATAATCCGAGATTCTGAAGACACCCGCTGTGCATCTCCAGCCCTACAGTGTTCCCTTGGTTTATGTACCTTTTAGTCATCCTAGTTCTTTGTGGTTTCTCCCCCTGCAGTGGATAACTCCAAAGCCATTTTTCAGTAACATCTTACACCCAGCAGAGGGGTCTACAGTAAATAAAGCATTGAGGAAATGGAAGACGTTACCCCATGAGGAAACAGTAAAAAAAAAAATTGAATTATTTAACTTGGGGGGAAAATGGCTTCAGAGGCTTATTTTTCTTGGATATGTGATTTTATCAGTGTGGGCATTCCTTCCAACAGTGTAAATTATAATCACTCTACAACTTAATCTTTTTTTTTTATCAGTTGCAGTGGCTAAAAAGTCACTTAATTGCTAGTATTACATACTTTCTCGTACTTGAATATTATTGAACTGTTTAATAATTTCTGGGTTATATGTGAAATTATAGGTGTGGATTCATTTGAACTCTAAAATTATGTTTCTCTAATCACTGTGAATGTCTAGTAGTTAAGTACCTAGTTCAGTGTCCCCCTCCACCTCAACTGATTCTCTTAGAGACTGAATTAACTATATCACTGCTTGTCCCCTCAGTAACAACTGATCTCCAAGTTCATTAAGCTTCTCAATTCTTTTTGTGTATAGCTTTTGTGGTAGAGCAATGGTACATTGATTTTGTGAGCACAGGAGACTTCTTAATTTTATGTAATCAAACCCATTTTATCTTCTGTGAACTTCTTTATCCCTTGTTCAGTCGTGATCCATATGTTCCAAAGGTAATCCCTTGTTTTTCTAATTTTTTAAAAAAGTTTTTTTAAGGTAACACGTATTTTGTATTAATCTGTCCCCCATTTATGCCACCCCCATAGAGAAATTAGGAAAAAAAAACCAAACAGAAATCTTTCAATGCATATCTGTATAAAATTCCTACATAGGCTATGTCTGCAAATGCATTTATCTTTCTTAATTTAAGGTCATCACTACTTTCTCAGTAAGTGAATGGTGTGTTTCATCTTCATTCTTTTGGAGTCTAAGTTTATTGTTGCATCGATGAGAGTTATCTTGTGATGTTTTAATTGTATAAGTTGTTTTCCTAGTACTTTTCATTTTGCTTTGTATCGGTTCATAGCGGTCTTCCCAGTTTTCACAAAAATTGTCCTTTTTATAATTTCTTACATTCACCTACAGTTTGTTTAGCTATTCTACATTAAGATAGCCCCTACTTTTCCAATTCTTAGATAGCATGAAAAAACTGCAATAAATATTTTTGTACATATGGGTGCTTTTCTTCTTTCTTTGATTTCTTGGGCTCTAGGTATAGCACTGATATAACTGAGTCAAAAGGCATACACAGTTTCATAATTTTCTGGGTATAGTACCAAATTGTTTTCTGGAATGGCTGGAATGGACTTTACAGCTTCACCAACAGTGTATGAGTACACCTGTTTTCCCACATCTGGACATTTGTCATTTTCTTCTTTTGTCATCTTTGCTAGTTATATGTGTCAACTGGGTCTAGGTACAAATTCATTATATTTTCATTCAGAACCTTAATGATGCATGGCAATACTTTTATTCTTCCCTAATTGACCTTTCTGTGACATTTCTCACATTCTAAACTTTTGCTTCCCAAACTCCTTGCAGCATTCCTCCTACCTCCTTCTCCTCTACTCTACACCTCAAAAGCTTTCTACATTGTTCCCTATTTTACCCTTTGTTCCTGTCTATAATATATGGAAGAAGGGGCCATTCTATAAATTTAGAGCTAGAATGGACCTTAGAAGTTATTTAGTCCAACTCCCTCTTTTTACAGATGTGGAAATGAGGCCCAGAGAGGTTAAGAAGCTTGCTTAGGGGCACACAGGTAGTAAGTAGTAGAACTAATATTGAATACAAGTCTTCTGATTTCAAAGCGAGCATGCCTTCTATTAGGCCACACTACTTTTTGGTTTTCTTGCCTTTCATTTACTTGAGGATCATCCCCTCTCCCCCTCTAATCTTCATTCTCTTTCCATGAGCTCCTTGCCCTTTCTACACAAAAATCTGTATCTCTCTTCTCCCCCATCCTTAAAAAGCCTTCGATTGACCCTGACTTCAGATCCATCATTCAACTGAAACTGCTGTCTCTGAGGTTAATAACAGTCTCTTAGCTTCTAAATCCCCTGGCCTTCTGTTTCACAGTGAGTTGAGGAACAGCAAATGTGAATTTTGCATAGTCAGTAGTCAAACATTTAAGCGCCTACTATATGCTAGGCACTGTGCCAGGTGCTGGGGATACAAATGCAAAAAGAGAAAGACAGTCTCTGCCCTTAAGGACCTTACAATCTAATTGGGGAATATAAAACACAAAAGAAAGCCGAACTCAGTGAGAGAAGCCCCCATGCCCGAGCTAGACAACCTCCTTAAATGATGGTTTGAAGTTCATGCCTCTACCCTCCAATCAGAGGGGCAGTGATGAGGTGGCATACCAAGGCCAATGAGATCTTACAGGTTGAGAAGTCCCAAGATCTTGCAGTCAGATAAGAAATTTTGTTATGACAATGTTGGTTAGTTTTTGCTTAACTGTTTTTCTCCCAAGGAAGGATTCAGGGTTGGAGGGCTATGTCAGGAAATAACTGTGGTTTTAAAAACAACAATAATCGAGAGCCTTAAAATTAACCTTAAAAAAAAATCTTTCAGTGGCTTTAGGATAAAGTAAAAATCTCAGTCCAACATTTAAAGCCTTCCACAAACTATGTTGTACTCATTTTTCAGACTTACTCTGTACTTACCTCTCTTTCTTCTTGTTTGTGCTTCAGCCACAAAGCAAGAAATCTAATGGCTTTTTCTGGAACTCTATATTTTAATGACTGTCTCATGTGAATTTACTCCCTCAACATCTCCAAAATCCCAAGATTCCTTCAAGGCTCAATTCAGGTACTACCATATGCTTGAAGCCTTTCCTGATTCCTTGGTTGTTACTGTTTCCTTTTTCATCAGTTTTTCTTGTATTTATTTATCTGTGTAGATAGTAAGCACCATAAGGGCAGAAACTAGTTCATTTTTGTCTTTTTATCTTCAGTGCCTAACACAGTGCCTTCTCTATATGTCGCTTTAATAAATTTTTGTCTAATTGTATTTTGAGGAGATAATGTGGAAGGACCAACATGATGCCCCATAAGACTTGAGTTTGAGTCTTAGTTCTACCTATAAATGGGTATCATAATATCTGTCTTCCCCTTATAAAATGAAGATTATTATACCTGCACATTTCCTACTTCATAGGGTTGTTATGAGGAAGGAGCATTATAATACTAACATCATTATTATTATCTTTTGATGCCCAATAAAAGCAGAATATTGCTGAGTTGAATTCACTTAGAACCTAACTCATTTTAGCTATTCTTATGTTCTAAGACCTCAGAATGGCTCTTGGCTTCTCTCTACAGGAGATGTGACTCTGGATCCAGATACAGCAAATCCTGAATTGGTCCTCTCTGAAGACAGGAGAAGTGTGAGAAGGGGGGATGTACGGCAAGCATTGCCTGACAGCCAGGAGAGATTTGATCCTGGTCCATGTGTGCTTGGTCGTGAAAGCTTCACTTCTGGGAGACACTATTGGGAGGTGGAGGTTGGGGAGAGGGTTAATTGGGCTCTGGGAGTTTGTAAAGAAAATGTGAACAGAAAGGAGACAGGGGAATTGTCTGCTGGCAATGGATTCTGGATCCTGGTGTTCTTTGGAAACTATTACTATTCTCCTGACCAGACCTTTATTCCACTTAGAGAGGCTCCCCGGCGAGTGGGGATTTTTCTGGATCATGAGGCTGGACATATCTCATTTTATAGTGTAACTGATGGATCCCTCTTATTCATGTTCTCCCAGATAACCTTCTCTGGGACACTCAGACCCCTGTTTTCCCCCATATCCTGTAGCCCAATCCCTATGACCATCTGCCGGGTAATAGGAGGAGCTGAGGAATCTTTTACCTCCTGATGATTTCTCTGACATTTTGGCTCAACTCATCTTTTGTGATCAGGAAGTCTTAAGTTGCCTAGGTATCTTACGGTCCCAGGGTTAGTCCTTTCCATTTGTCTCAGCAATTAATTCAAAAGGATGTGGAGATTATAAAGAAAGAGATCCTTTTTATTTTAAGCTCATGAATATGGACTTTATACCACTGAGATAAATAGTTTGGTGCCAAAACATTAAGCCTTCCAAATTTGTATGCACCCTATCCAAACCATTGGTTTTCCCCAAATGGTGTGAGGGAAAGATTTTTGAGCTGAGTCATGCAATCAGGATTCTAATCCTCACTTTTCTTCTACAAGGTAGCTGTTTGACCCTGGGAAAAATCATTCCATCTCTGGATTTCGTGATGAAACTTAGACCAGATAATGTCTGAAGTCCTCACTGTCTTTGTAATGTTCTCATTTTCGCACCAAATGTCAAAAATGATCTTCAGATGCAGAAAAATCTTTAAGGTTTTAGTATGAGCATCAGTGTGATTGGGGCCTGGGCTACTGAAATGTCTTTTGGGCCTACTGCTGCTATAAGAATGCTGGGTGTCCTTGATTTTTACCAAACCAGACCTGCCTGTGGAGAAAAGCCAAGGCACCTAAGCTGTATACAGACATAAACTTTGGAGACCAGATGTCAGCTGCTCCAGACCCAGCTTTGACATAAAATGAGTTATCTCTCCTGGCAAGTCACTTAACATCCCTGGTACTTAGTTTCCTCATATATAATAGAAGCATTAGATTATTTCAAAGGGTACTTTGTGCTTTAGAAGTCATTCATCCCAAATCAAGATAGGATATAAAGCCAAAAGAGTCTTCAGTAGAGATAATAGCTACGTAAATGGCTATTATCTTTTTGTCTAAATACTATATAAAAGACATTTATATGGAGAATATTTATATAGTGGCTATTATGTGCCAGGCACTGTACTAAGCACTTTATAGTTATTATCTCATTTGATTCTCCCAACAGTCTTGTGATGTAGATATTATCTTCATTTTACAGTTGAGGAAACTGAGGCAGCTAATAAGGCTGGATTTGAACTTAGGTATTCAGACTTTTGGCCCAGCACCCCATCCACTATGCCACCTCCTTGCTTTACCTGCCTTATTGCATTTGTTTCTCAACCCTGTGAAGCAGGTAGTGTAAAAATGATTCTATCTCAGACTTGCTTGAGGTGTCAAGCTAGTTAATGCCAGAGCTGGCACTTAACCAAGGTTATCTGAATAAAAACACAGTGTTCTTTTGACTCCACCATGTCTAAAGACACAGACTCTTCAATTTAGGAAGGTATGTTAAGATAGAAGTTACCCAAATTATACATAGGTTGAACATAGACTTGGTCACCAAACTCTGGCATATCATAGAAGGGACATTCTTTGAAGTGCTTATTTGTGCATTAAAGTATCTGAGGCTGGATTTGACATCAGATCTTTCTCACTCTAGGCCTGGTGCTGAAAGGAAATTGTCATTGTACCACCCAGCTGCCCACTCTAAGAGGTAGAACAGACTAAAAATAAAAATACACATGAGAAAACAGTATTTCAATAAGTAGGTAGAACCCAGATAGGTTGCAAAGGGCAACTAGGTTATTTAGGACACATTGCTAAATTCTGAGGTTGACATCAAGAATTGGCCTTTGCCAAACCTTGAATCATCAGTAATAATTCTAGGTTGGATGGACTATGGGTCTAACACAGGACGGATCATAAGATCACAAATTGAGAGCTGCAAGGGAACTTATAGGTCATTTAGTTCAGTTTCCTCATTTTACAAACAGGGCAACTGAGACTTGGGCATTAAGTTACATGCCCAGCGGGAACAAGTGGTAAAACAGGTATGTGAACCAAAACCTTTGACCAGAAATCTAGGATTTTACACTGTCCCACACATTTTTAGAACTTGAAACAGTCATTCAGTTCACCTAGGGTAGGCAATTGCCATGCATATGAAATTGATCTGAACCTGTGATCTTTTGTGATATCTATTGTAAAGCTATGGCAAAGATGGTGATGAATATGTGATGGGATATACACGGGACCTGTTTTCTAGGGAACCAGTTTCAAGTCCCAGTTATGCAACTAATTGAGTGATCTTGGACAGGTCATTTCACTTCTCTGGCCTCAGTTTCCTCAATTCTAAAATGAGAGAATTGAACTCATCAGTATTTATTTATTCAGTTTGTGCCATGGACTGGTAAAATACCTAATTCTCTATTGCAGGTTCAAAATCATGTGAGTGTACAACATGTATTTCAAGGTTCTGAGGCAGGTTAGAATGATTTATTCATTGTGGTTCCTCGGTTGAACTTCTGTAGTTAAAAAAAAAGTTTGCACAACTCCTTAAAAAGTATAATTGGCCAAATAGAAAATAAAGTACAGAAGCTAACTGAGGAACCATAAAATCTTAAAAGTTAGAATTGGACAAGTGGAAGCTAATGATTCTATGAGACATCAAGAATCAAACAAATTCAAGAGAATGAAAAAAGTAGAAGAAAATGTAAAATACTTCATGGGAAGAGCAACTGATTTGCAAAATAGATCTAGGAGAGACAATGTCAGAATCATTGGACTACCTGGAAGCCATAATCAAAAAGGACCTGAACAGCATCTTTCAGGAAGTTATCAAGGAAAACTGCCCTGATGTCCTGCAGCCAGAGGGTAAAATAGGCATTGAAAGAATGTACTAGGGGCAGCTAGTTGGTGCAGTGCAGAGCACTGGCTCTGGATTCAGGAGGACCTGAGTTCAAATTTGGCCTCAGACACAATACTCACTAACTGACCCTGGGCAAGTCACTTAACCAAACTTAAAAAAAAAATCTAATCATCTCAGAAAAGAGATCCCAAAATAAAAACTCCAAGTAACATTATAGCCAAATTTCAGAACAATTAAGTCAAGGAAAAAATACTGTATAAGTGGCCAGGAAAAAAAAATTCAAAATATCAGGGCACCACAATCAGGATTACTAGGACTTTGCTGCAATATTAAAAGATTGGAGGTCATGGAACATGATATTCCGAAAGGCAAAGGAACTAGGACTATAACCAAGAATCACCTACGAATCCAAATTAAACATAATACATCAAGGGAGAAAATGGTCATGCAATGAAATAGAAGGATTCTGAGCTATCATAAGAAGACCAGACTTAAACCAAAAATTTGATCTCTAAGACCCAAGAGAAGCATAAACAAGTAAGAGAAGAAAACAGGATTCAATAGAGCTGAATTGTTTACATCCCTACATGGGAAGATGATACTTGTAATTCTAAGAAGTATATCGCTAATAGTACAGCTAGAAGGAATATGCATAGAGGGAACAGACATAAGGTGAATTTGTGGGAATGGCAAAAAATTAAGGGATCAGAAAGGAGTATGCTGGGTGTGCAGAAGGCAGGGAGAGGTGGAATGGGGCAAATTCACATGAAGAGGTGTGAAAGACCTGTTACGGTGGAGAGAAAGTTGGGAGGGTGGGCGATAGGCATCGTTTGACCCTTAGTCTCGCCAGTATTGGCTCAAAGAGGGAAGAATAATCAGTTGAATATAGAAAACTATCTTACCTGATAGGAAAGTAGGAGGGGAAGAGATTAAGTGAAGACTAGAGGAGGGGGACTGGCAGAAGGGAAGGCAAATCCGGGGAGGTAGTAGAAGCAAAACAGTGGTGGGAGAGAGAGTGAAAGGAGAGGACAAACAGGAGGAAAAATGAAATGGAGGGAAATACACAGTAATCATAACTGAATGTGAATGGGATGAACTCTCCCATAAAATGCAATTGGGGGAGCAAAAACCAGAATCTTAAAATGTTTACAAGAAACGTGAATGAAGCAAAGAGACACGCAGAGTTAAAGGTAAGGGGCTGGAGCATAATCTGTTATGCTTCAGCTGAAGTAAAAGTAAATAGAGACCTAATTAAAGAGATAAGGAAGGAAACTACATCTTCATTGGACAATGAAGTAATATTAATACTAAACATGCACGAAGTGGTATAGCATCCAAATTCTTAAAGGAGAAATGAGAATCAAAGGTATAAATGTAAAGTAGATAATTTTGATTATATTAAAATAAAAACTTTTGTATAAACAAAACCAATGCAACCAAGGAGGAAGGAAAGAAATCTGGGAAGCTATATAGCAAGTGTCTCTGACAAAGGCCTCATTCCTCAAATTTATAAGACTACGAGCCATTCCCCAATTGATAAATGGTAAAAAGGAAATGAACAGGCAGTTTTCGGATGAAATCAAAGCCATCTGTAGTCATACAAAGAAGGGCTCTAAATCACTTTTGATTAGAGAAAACAACTCTTGAGGTACCACTTCATGCCTATCAGATTGGCTAATATGACAAAAGGAAAATGATAAATGTTGGAGAGAATGTAGGAAAATTGGGACACTAATTCACTTTTGGTGGAGTTGTGAACTGATCCAACCACTCTGGAGAGTAATTTGGAACTATGCCCAAAGGGCTGTAAAACTGCATACCCCTTAATCCACCAATACCACTACTAGGTCTATATCCCAAAGAGATCATAAAAAAGAGGAAAGGACCTACGTGTTTAAAGATATCTATAGCAGCCCATTTCATGGTGGCAAAAAAAAAAATGGAAATTGAGGGGGATGCCTATCAATTGGGATGGCTGAACAAACAATGGAATACTACTGTGCAATAAGAAATGAACAGGTACATTTCAGAAAAAACCTGGAAAATCTTGTATAAACTGATGCAAAGTGAAATGAGCAGAACCAGGACAACATTGTACACAGTATCAGCAACTTTGTGTGATGATCAAGTATGAATGACTCAGCTCTTAGCAGCGCAATGATTCAACTACAAATGACTCATGAAGAAAAATGTCCACATCCAGATAAAGAACTGATGGACTCTGAATGGAGATCAAAGCATATTTTCACTTTATTTTTTTTTCTTTTCTATTTCACAGCTGTGGCTAATATGTAAACATTAGTGCTTTAGTATTAGTAAATATGTTTTATGTGATAGCACATGTATAACATCAAATTGCCTACCATTTTCAGAAAAGGGGAGGGGAGAGGGAGAAAAATGTGGAACTCAGAATCTTGTAGAAGTGAATGCTAAAAATTGTCTTGACATGTAATTGGGAAAAATGCTATTAAAGAATAGAAGAAAAAGGAAAAAATAGTTTACAGCTGGTATGATGATGAATTTCTTGAAACTTAACTGGATAGGTCCTTGTTTAGTAGACAGAGTCTATGACCAGGCCAGCACCTAAATCCTTTCCACAACTTGTACTGTACAGGGACAACTTTTAAGAGCCCAGATTCACTTTCACATGATAAGTCATTACAGCAGGACTTCAGTGGTGGGTGGGTTATATATGTATTAAATTATTTAATAAAGCAATAAGTATATTAAATTCTTCAATAAAGTAAATCTTTTAAATTTGTCATTAGCTACAAACCGTTTCTAAATGCCAATGTGTAGCATGTACTTTTTAAAAA